AAGTATTTCTTCGCACAACAGAGTCAATTTATGGAACTTTGCCAGAGGATGTTATGAAGGCCAAGACTATAACAGGGTTCAAAAAAGAACTAGATAAATTCATGGAGAATAGGCCCATTAATGGCTATTAGCCAGGATGGGTAGGAAGAAAGGTTACTGGGCTAGATGGACTTTTGATCTGAGCAAGTATAGTTATTCTTATGTTCCTATGTTCTTATTTTAATTTAAAGCTAAATTTTAAAATAAATAAATAAACTTGTCCCTTTACAGAGCAGTAGCAGAATTCAGAACCTGGCCGGACAATTCCCCCATTACAGGACAAATCAGTGATACTGTTTATTTACTAAATGTACATGAGTCCTGTTCCTTTGAAGCGGGTGGTAACAAACACATATAGACCATTCCCTTCTGCAGAAATCTCTGGCCAGGCACTCCTGCCCTATACTGACTGGCAGCTGTCTTGGGCCTCTGCTTCTCTCTCCAGACACACTGCTTCATAGACTCTTCTTTCTGCCCCAGCCCCTGAGTTTTTTGCTGTGGGAAAGCCCTAGTGCAGGGCTGCTCACCTGGCAAGATGAGCCTGATCATCCACCCTCCTTTTGTGCTACCATTCTGAGGCCATATCTACTCTACGGGGACTATAGCGGCATAGCTATGGGGCTGTAGCTTTGCCAGCATAATCCCAAAATTCAGCCTACACTGACAGAAGGGGTATTTCCATCACTGTAGGAGCACCACCTCTCTGAGCAATGGTAGCTAGGTCAACAGAAGTATTCTTCCATTGACCTAGCTGTGTCTACACTGAGGGTTAGGTTGGCATAGCTATGGCACATAGGGGTTTGGATTTAGCTGTGACACTCTGAGTAAATTTCCTAGACCTGAAGAAGAGCTCTGGATAAGATCAAAAGCTTGTCTTTCTCTCTCTGGATTTTTCATATCCCTGAGCACACTTGCCATATCAACCTAAATTTTAAATGTAGACCAAGCCAGAGACAAAAGGCCTTCTCTACATAGAGACACTCAGGAAAAATAATCTGACTGAATTTTTAAAGTGGATTAGTTAACTCACATTAAATCCTAGTGTGTCTGCTCTTATTCAGAATTCAAAAGACTTTAATGTGACCTTAATTTGGTTTAATTAAGGCCACATTATTTCTGAAGGAGAACATCCACAGTTTAAATAATTCATCTTCATTCACCCCCTTAGTTAATTCAGAATAGTTTCCCTGAGTGTCTGTGTATGTGCAAGCCAAAGAAGAGCGCTTTGACCACACAGAACCCATAATAGCCCACTGGGGAGGTTACTGTGTGGTATTTTCTAAGGGGAATTTTGTGCTGCTGGTTATCCATCAATGATTGTAATGTGCTAGCCATTTGCACCTTTCACCATAACAATATGCACTGTTTCTTTCTTAAGTAGACAAAACAAACAAATATAGTTTAGCCCCAAGTTTGGCCTCACTCATTTCTAAATAGCACCATGACATCCCTTCTCCTCAGTAACTCAAACAATTAGTATGTAAGAGCAGACCGCTTATTTGCTGCGTTTATCTGTATCAGTTGTTTAGTCTGGAGTGCTTTTGAAATTTAATTTTGTTAACATCCAGCCTATAAGTGTTAATTTTGCCCAATATATTTCAAGATCCATTATTTTTAAGAAGTAAAGTATTTACTGAGGGGCTAATTTTCCACTCACATTGTTTTTATATCAGCCTAACAACATTGGTGATGGAGTTTCTCCTGGTAAATGAGAGTTAGAATCAAGCCATGAAACAGTAAAACGTACAAGGCCATATTCCCCCTTTAGCTACAACTTTGCAACTTAAGCAAAGTCAATGGGTTTGGATGGTTTTAAATGAAGGCAGATTTTGGCCCACAGCATCCATATTACAACCAGTCACTTTACCTTGTTTCCCAGGTGACAGCCGTGCTCAGAAATGCCTTCTTTCATCGTTGTCTGGTCACGAGATTGTGGGTAAAATTTTCAAAAGCATTTCAATTATTTTACCCAAAGTTCCTCATAAATCTTATTTTCAACAAATAATTTGATAAGCTCTATCTATATGAAGATCTGAAGTTGCTACCCAGCTAATAATTATGACATGACGAAATATGATACCATACAGGACGTGTAAGCTTCAATGCTTGAGAAACTTGAGGTGGAAGGTCAAGGGGGGATTTTAATGTGTCTATGGCCTTTTCTTCACTTGGAAAAAGGTATGTTATAGTGCATATTAACTAACATTTTAAAATGCTAGAATAGACAAGGCGGTTGGGTTTATCTTGATTTGCTAACACTACAACTGCCATGTCTATGCTTAGGATTCTACTACTTGTTAATTAATGTGTGTTAGATACCTTTTTCCTAGTGTGGACATGATCTGAATGACTTAGAAGCACGTTTCCTTGATTATTTAATGGAACTTGATCTCCTAGCTCAAATAGATGTTTTTGAAAAATCTCAACCAATTATTAATGAACTGATCCTGATTTTACAAATATATTCCATTAATCTGTGAATATATTTATTATTTCTTAAGTATTTACCAAATAAATAAGATGGACCTGTTTTAGCCCATGACCTGTCTATGACTGCTCATTATTCATGGTGTATGATTGGTCATCATTTGGTATTAGTTCTGGTTTCTGGTTGAATGACAGAAAGTTTTTAAATAGAAGAATAACAAATCATAGAATATCAGGGTTAGAAGGGACCTCAGGAGGTCATCTAGTCCAACCCCCTGCTCAAAGCAGGACCAATCCCCAACTAAATCATTCCAGTTAGGGCTTTGTCAAACCTGACCTTGAAAACCGCTAAGGAAGGAGATTCCACCACCTCCCTAGGTAACCCATTCCACTGCTTCACCGCCCTCCTAGTGAAAAAGTTTTTCCTAATATCCAACCTAAATCTGCCCCACTGCAACTTGAGACCATTGCTCCTTGTTCTGTCATCACATGTTATTGCCTCTTTGAGTGCTGCCCCCCTTAGATTGGTTGCTCTCCAAATGTATCCATTTTATGATGTTTCTTGTCTTGTGTGTGAGTTATTTCCCTCCCTCCCTCCCTCCCCCCACCCCACCCTGCAAGCAAACAATCCAAAAGGACCAAGCTCTGGACAATGTGTTTGCTCTGGTAGCTATAGAAGCAGGTGAATATGATGCTTTCTGATCAGATTGAGTCTGCTTTCTTTCCTGGGTTCAACACAAGTCTGATATGTGCCAAATTCGACTTCCTTTTGTATTTCTGAAAGCAACTGCTGTGATAGCGTATTGGTAGCACATCTTCTAAACCAGAAAACTCATTCAATAACCCCCAGTACAATGAATCACTCTTGGCTTCTGCTGCCAGCATCACAGATAATACGACTAGGGCTCCAAGGATCTCCTGATGATGAGGACGATGATGATTGATGAAAATAGTGAATTTCAGATATGACTTTTCAGTTAAATAATTATTTGTTCTAAAATGTATATAACTTTTGAGATCTGTGAACACTCAGAAATATCTGGCAGCTGTCCTAACAAATAACATAATTCCATGAGTGACAGTAAACTGAGCACAGTGCTTTTATCCACAGAAATATTTAGGAAGTTTTTTTTTTTTTAAATATTGGACCTCTATATATTATTACAACACAATCTTATAGAGACAATCAGACAGAGACCAGTAAATAATAATACTAATAATAATTAATAAATAACAAAAACAAAGATTTGATTTAATAGAACATCAACCAGATGAAGATTTCAAGTACTTTAAAATGGCGGATACATTGTATCATTCTTATTTTCCATCTGGTGGCAATAAAGGCTGAAGCTGTTAACATGTGACTTGCCCGAAGTCAAAAAATGAATAATCAGAAGAGATGGACTATAACCTTTGCACAGAGGTAGATTAAGATATATGGGGCCCTGAGCAAAAACGAACAACTGGGCCCCTCACATCCTCTCCCTACCATATGGCCCCACCCCGGCTCCTTCCCTTCCCCCCAAGGCCTCACCCCCTGGCCTGGCTGGAAGCTGGGCTGTGGTCAGAGCTGCCCAGGAAGCCTGGGCCACTGCGAGGAGCCCTGGACCTCCCTCACCTGCTCTGGGCAGTGCACCCTGGGGGGCACGGACATGGGCCAGGAGCTTCTCTTGGGCCCCCAAACTCCCGCCCAGGGCAGGTGGAGGGTGGGGGCTTCCCACAGCTATGTGGGCTCCTGGGTCACAGCCTAGGGCAGTGGTCCCCAAACTGTGGAGCATGCCACATGGGTGAGAGAGGGTCTCAGGCCAGCTCTGCGCACTGTAGTGGGGGGCAAGAGTTGAGCCACCTCCGCGTCATGTGAGCGTGAAGGGAGAGGGGCTCAGGTGAGCAGCTCTGCCAGCTCTGCATTAGGGTGACCAGATGTCCCAATTTTATAGGGACAGTCCTGATTTTGGGGTCTTTTTCTTACATAGGCTCCTATTACCCTCCCTCCCCCATCCCAATTTTTCACATTTGCTGACTGGTCACCCTACTCTGCATGGGGGCAGGGGGAATAGGCTCCATCTCCTAGCACAGGCTCCATCTTCCAGCTGGGCCAAGGGACAGGCCCGCAGGGGGGAAGAGGAGGAACAGGACATAGGGTGATGGGGGGGGAGGAGAAGCGGGGGGTGGGGCCAGAGTTCCGGTGCTCTTGCGGGGCCCTCAAATTGTGCAGGGCCCATACGGTAATCCACCACTGCCTCTGCATCCAAGACTATAGCCTCCTGTTCTATCCGGTAGTAATCCCTCGGACAGATCAACCAACCAAGTAAAAAAGGAAAATGTCAAGAAGAATAGGTGACACATTTGTTCAAAGAATCATAATTTATCTTTCATTCTTCCCACTACGAACTCAGCTATAGATTTCAGCCACCGTTCTCCTCAATGTGCTCCTCCAAGCCAATGAGTGTAAATGGTCAGAACTCCCCTGACGTTAATGCAGCGCCACCCATCAACACAAGCGGAGGATTTGGAATTAATGCAGAGACTCTTACCTTTTTCAGAAAATTAAACTAGACCACAGTCTGGAAGATTCTCCATGCCTCAATGCCAGGTTCGGGGGCTCCAGTGTTAATAAAACCAAGACTTTAAAATGGGATTTGAGTGCGTGCCTGCAGGGAATGGATCGCACGCTTTGAATACACTGAACAAAGGGACTGAACTCTGACCAAGGAAAGTGAAAGCAAAAAGAGTAGGTTAAATATTAACCTTCGTTCTACCTGAAGTTTATGTGTCTTTTCCAGGAAAGGTCGCCTAGAACCCTAAAGCTAGGTCAGTGCTTAGATGGGAATGCATTTTGTGTCTCTAACAAACACACATTTAACAAACCACATTAAAACAATCCTGATACTGGAGGTTACATACAGACATGGAAATACCAGGCTGGGCAATATTGAAGGGAATTGAAATTCACCCCATCTCTATCAAAACAGATCAATAAATTAGAGGAAGATAATCCCCTCCGCCTCTCCCTAAATATCTCCACAGAGTTTGATGAGGTATGGACACTCTGGATAGCCAGCAAAGAAGGTCCATATGAGTTCAAAAAGGATAGTGGGGAAACATGGACTGGAATATATAAAGCGAAGGCAGAGGTAATAATAAGGGTAGAAAATGGAAATTAATGTATATGGCTGTAAATTGGCTTACACAATATGCCATGAAATTGGCAGGGCAAGTCATAGAAGACACAAAACAACTAGAAGAAGCCATAGAGCAGTGAAAAGCACAGGAACAGAATAGAAAATCGGAAACTGCTCTAGACAATCTGCAAAAAGAGAAGTGCCATCCCCCATTATAAATCTTGTTTGGCAACAACAGATTTCGGGTAATTGTACAGTGCCTGAAGAATGAGGACCGAAATGGAAAAAGGTGGCCTGAGTAAAATTAAAAGATGGAACATGGAATGACTGGAATGGTTGCTGGAATGGGGATATTGGCAATGACCTAGACCAAGAGCCACCTAGCAATCCATGGGCAGGGGGCACCATACTGCAACCATCACTGTATGATGGGAGCCAGGTACTGGTAAAACCGAAACTGAAACCTAGGCTGATGCCTGTTAAAATGGGAGAAATAAGTGCTCAGGAGAGAGAAGTAGCAAACAATACTTTCACTAGATTGGTAAATCAGATGAAGGAGAAAATGGAGCAGTTAACAGAGCATATTAGGAGGCAGGAGGTGTGGCTTGATTGCAGGGGAGTGGATAAAAAAGAAGTTCAATGTCAAAAGCTAAGAATGAGCAGGTTAACACACAGAATTGATGCATTAACTCATGGAGTTGCTCAGAAATGGTTAACTGCAGCAGGGAAGGGCACTCCCGCAATCCATTTGGCATGGAGACAAAAGCAACAGACACTGGGGGAACAAACTGAGGTTTTGCAAGAGCAGGTAGCAACTTCCACTCTCCTCTCAGACCCAGAATAAACACCAGGGGTGCGGGTTTCCAATCTCCTGCTTTAACGAAGGCCCACTCCTCACTCAGAGCTAACAATATAACCTTTTTCAAATATTTTTATATACTGCTTAAGTTTTCCTTTATATCCTCTCTCAGTTTGCTAAACTGGCTGCTGCTGCCTATACCTAAAGATGATCTGACAGAGTTAATCTCTTGGCTCAGGTCTCCCTCCCTTTCAATGTTGCTTTCTCCTCTACACACACCTCTCTTCACTTCTGCCCTCCCTTTGTTTTAAAGGTTAAAAGTTATACTTATTACATAAATCTCCATCGCAGAAAAAGACAAAGCAACAACAAACTAGCAAAGAGAAAACCAGGTAAAAACTTTAGTTTAAATAAGTCCAGTAAATTAATTATGTTAACCACTCAGCTATGGAACAGCCAGAAATACTCCTAATTTTCTTGAAGATATAGTTGACAAGCAATAGAAATGTTGTCAAGTATCAGAGGGGTAGCTGTGTTAATCTGGATCTGTAAAAAGCGACAAGGAGTCCTGTGGCACCATATAGACTAACAGAAGTATTGGAGCATAAGCTTTCGTGGGTGAATACCCACTTTGTCAGATGCATGTGAACACTTCTTCTAATTCTAGCCATTATTTAATATATGAAACATGGATATTTTTTATTTCCATATATGTATTTTTAAAATAAAAGTAATATGAAGTGATGGAAACTGCCTTAAGTTAACAAAATTAATACAACAAAGTGGGCAGATAACTTAATATGAATTTTTATCAATTCTTATAAAAAGTTTGAAAGAAGAAGTTAATAACTCACTTATTTAAATGTTTTAACTCTTGTGTTTACCTGTCTGTTTTATAAAACTCATTACTTTAATAACTTAGCTCTTAATGCCTTATCTTGTATAGTTATAAATACAATTCTGGTGCCATTCATCTTTAGTTGTAAGTTTGTCCTGTATGTCATGTATGTTGTCTTGTGTCATATGTTGTGTGTGTCATGTGACTACTTTTTCTTAAATTTTGTTGCCACAAAAGTCAATTTTATCCTTTTTAAAAATGTAAGTGGTAACACTATTTC